CCTAAGATGGAAGGTGCCCAGCTCCGCCTCCCTGCGGCTCCCAGCATCCACCAAGGACCTGAGGAAACACAACAGCACATGGCTACACACACACACACACGCACATTACACACACTCATACACAGACACACAGACACACACACATGCACTCACACAGACATACACAGAGAGACACACACAGACACAGAGACACACACAGAGGTACACAGACACACTCGCACACAGACACACAGACACACACACACATGCACTCACACAGACATACACACTCACACAGACACACAGAGACACATACAGAGGTACACAGACACACACTCGCACACAGACACACTCACACGGAGACACACAGTCACACACAGAAACACACACTCAGAGACACACAGACACAAGGAGACACAGAGACACACAGAGACACACACATTCGCACACAGGCACACATGCATTCACACAGAGAGACACGCACACTCGTACACACACACACTCAGAGAGACACACAAAGACACACGGAGACATATACACAGACACATACACTCACACAGAGAAACACCCGCAGACACACACTCACAGAGACACACACAGAGACACACAGACACACACACTCTCACACACAGACACATACACTCACACAGAGAGACACACACAGACACACTCACAGAGACACACACTCAGACACATAGAGACACACACACACTCGCACACAGACACATACACTCACACAGAGAAACACGCACAGACACACTCACAGAGACACACACAGACACACACAGAAACACACACTCAGACACCCACAGACACACATTCACTGAGACACAGAGACACACACACACTCGCACACAGAGACACGCAGACACATACATTCACACAGAGAGACACCCAGACATACACACACACACTCACAGAGACACACTCAGACACACAGAGACACAGACACACACACTCAGACGCACACAGACACACACAGACACATACACTCATAGAGACACCCACAGACACACGGAGAGACACACAGACACACTCACAGATACACTCCTAGAGGCCCACACAGACACAGACACACACAGAGACATACTACAGAAACCCACTTACAAAAACACACAGAGCCTGGCTCAGCGATGCTCAGCAGGGCATGCGCACAGCAGCCAGAGCCTCACCTCCGTCTGAGACCGAAGCCTTGCCCCGTGAAAGCTGCTCCTCACCCAAGGCCCAGCCAGGACGGTGCTGATGCTCTGGGGCACCCAGGTTTCCCTGACTCTTGGCCCAGGTGGACTTGACTGGAAGGTTCTGGGGCCCTAAATGGCTTAGCCAAGGGGATGGGTGGTCTCTCCTCTTAGAGACGTTAAACCACCTCCCTTCCCCATCCACCTGTGTGCCTGAACTGTCATTCATTCATTCATTCAACAAACATAATGTGCTATGCCGGGCACTGGGATGTGAACGGGATAGAATTGGGGCCCAGGGGGTGGGGCTGAGGAGGCAGAAAGGCAAACCTATCATGTTGCCAGGGAAAGGTGAGGCCGGTTCCCCAGCCCACCTGGAGCGCCCTCAACAGACTCTTAAAAGGAAACAGCCAAGTCTTAGGGCCCTGCCTTGGGGGCTTCCTGACCCACGGAAGACAGTGGGACACAGCCTTCTTTCCTTCTCCCTCAGCCCTGCTCCACCTCCTCTCCAGGGTGGTCTTCCAGCCCGGCTGACAGTGCTGGGTTGACCACTTGTCTCCACGGACATCTGAACCCTATACCCTCCCACAAGACCCCAGCTTTAAGCTTTCCTCTCTGTCAACTTGCCCAGCAATTCTTAGGGCCCCCAGAGGCACCTCTCCCTGCCTCAGCCAGACCCCAGGGGACTGTGCAAGCCCCATGGTCCTGTTACATGTATGAGCCAGAGGTAGGATGTGGTTAGGCAGGGACCAGAACAGAAGAATAGAAACCAAGGATTACCTCCCACTCAGGCTGACATACTCAGAAACCAGATGGATGGATGGGTGCAGTGGGGCTGGTGGGCAGGGGGATGGATGAATGGATAGCTGAATGGAGTTGGGTAGGTGAGTAAATGGATGGATGGATGCACGGATGGATGAAGTGAGGTAGGTGAGCAGATGGTTGGATAGATGGAGTAGGGTAGATGAGGGATGGATGGGTGGGTGGATGGATGGATGGATGGATGAATGGATAGATGGATGGATGGAGTGGGGTGAGTGAGTGCATGGATGGATGGAGTAGGGTAGGCGAGTGGGTGGGTGGATGGATGGATGGATGGATGGATGGATGGATGGATGGATGGAGTGAGGTAGGTGAGTGGATAGATTAATGGAATGGGGGAAGTGAGTGGATGGGTAGATGGAGTTGGGTAGGTGAGTGGGTACAATGGGGTAGGGGATGGATGGATGGATGGATGGATGGATGGATGGATGGAGTGGGGTGGTGGGTGAGTGGGTGGGTGGATGCATGGGTGGATGGAGTCGGGTAGATGAGAGATGGATGGAGGGATGGATGGATGGATGGATGGATGGATGGGTGAATGGATGGAATGGGGTGGGTGAGTGCATAGATGGATGGAGTAGGGTAGGTGAGTGGATGAATGTATGAATGGATGGATGGAGTGGGGTGGGTGAGTGGATGGGTGGATGGATGGATGGATGCATGGATGGATTCAGTAGGGTAGATGAGGGATGGATGGATGGATGGGTGGATGGATGGATGGATGGATGGAGTAGGGTAGGTGAGTGGATAGATTAATGGAATGGGGTAGATGAGTGGATGGGTGGATGGAGTTGGGTAGGTGAGTGGGTACAGTGGGGTAGGTGATGGATGGATGGATGGATGGATGGATGGATGGATGGATGGATGGATGGAGTGGGGTAGGTAGATGGTGGGTGGATGGATGGACCGGTGAATGGGAGAGTGGACAGATGGACAGATAGATGAATGGGTGGCCGTATAGACAGGATGATAAGGGAGGAAGAAAGGAAACCTGGATGACAGTGGCTGCAAGGCGAGGTGGGTGGAGGAGGCCTACACCAAATTGCCTTCCTGGAGCAAATGCTTGTCTTTTTTCTTTCCCATGAACTGAACCTCCCAGCTTCTCCTGGAGGAACACATTCTGGTTTTAGCTCAACAGACAAGAAAACGTCCCTCAGAGCCTGTTTAATTGTAGTCCATCTGCCTTTGAAGGACTTATATGGTCATGGATAGGAACTGATGGTACCCACTTGTTAAGCCCTTCCTATATTTCAAGACCTTAATTAAAATAAAGTGGCTAGACTAAGTGGGGTTTTCGAACTGGGTTTTAGAGAACACTTGTTTTTTTGTAAAATATTTTGAAAGTTTTTAAAACTCTAATTTAAAAAATCGATTCCTTTGGAGACCACTGGAATTTCTGAGAGCCGCCAGCTAGGCCTGTTTTGTGCCCTCTCTGCTTAAGTGACAATTCTGAGATTTCAAGGTGAGCAGCGGATAAATGGTTACCATTGGCAACTCCTTATCAATGCGACTTTTCTCTATACCATGTAACAAAGCAAAATAGAGAAGTCAGCTGGATCTGGGTCTGATGGGATTGGAGCTTCCATCTGTAACCCCCAGTTTGAAGCATTTGCCTTCCCAAAGCAGCCATTTTGTTCTCATTAGCAGCCTTTAGAGTAAGGAAATATTATGGAGTCAGGTGTATCATTTATTCCTTTTCTTGATTTCACACATTGGGGTTTCCATGTTGGATTTTTTTTTAAAGGGGGAATTTCATTAATAGTCTTAAATAAAAGAGAAAAGAAAAGAAACAAAAATAGAAACCCACCGGACGAATTCCCAAGAACCCTTTCGGCTCTTCCCGTCTCTGCTTCTGTCCTCTGGGTGGTGTTCAGGCCCCTGGCTTCCTCCCTCTGTGCTGGTGAAACTGGTTCTTAGTTAGGGCTCTTGGTCCCCCTGTCATCCGACTCCAGGCCCTTTTACCAACAGAGGCCTCACTGGCCCCAGTGACACGTCGTGGGGAGGTGTGTCGTCCTCCGTTAGGTCAACGTTAAGAATTAGCCAGGCTTCCCTTCTGAGCCTTTTATGAGCTGGCCATTCATAAATTTGCCCAAACCCTCAGTGGTCCTGCCAAGGTCACCTTCTGGCGTAATGAGTCCATGTTTATTACCTGCCGGGTGAGGCCATGCTTCCTTCTCAGTGGCAGCCTTGTCACTGCCCTTCCAGGACTTCCTTAGGGGAGTGACTACAGCTGGATGGGAGGCTCGGCTTAGCTCCTGTGAACCTTGAGGCTGGAATGGTCCTGTCTGTACTACCAGCTGGTGTTAATAATCCTGGCTCTAGACCTAATTGGTGAAGCCAGCTGATTCCTAATGGAGAGCATTCTGGAACATTGTGCACAAAGAGCTCTGCTATTGCCTCTACATTTGCAGGAAATGAACTGGGCTGGTAGGAGGCGGCCTGCTGAAAGTAATATACAAGAAAAACTTCCTAAATACACATTAATAGACTAATCAGAAGTGGGCTCAGAAACTACTGGTTCACTTAAGAGTAGACCATATGCCTTTAAAAAGTTATATTGTTGGCTGGGGGCAGTGGCTCGCACATGTAATTTCTAGCACTTGAGAGGCCGAGGTGGGAGGATTGCTCGAACCCAGGAGTTCAAGGCCAGCCTGGGCAACATAAGAACACCCCTACTCTACAAAATTTTTTTAAAAAAATTAGCCAGGTATGGTAGCATGCACCTGTGGTCCCAGCCACTCCGGAGGCTGAGGTGGGAGGATCTCTTGAGCCCAGAAGTTTGAGGCTGCTGTGAGATATGATGGCACTACTGTGCTCTAGCCTGAGAACAAGATCCTGCCTCAGAAAAAGCCAAAAGTTATATTATTAATCTATGTTGTAGTCTTTATCTTTGGGTGGAACCAGGGAGGCCAGACGTTTCAAGACAAATCACTTTAAATACTGAATTTCTGGTGGCAATTTTTGCATCCCTGTGGCTTGCTTAATGACCATTTGTTCTGCGTTGTTATTCTCTTCTTCCAGATTGTTCTCTGGGGCCGGACTGAGAAATGCCTGAAGGAGACGACGGAGGAGATCCGGCAGATGGGCACTGAGTGCCATTACTTCATCTGCGATGTGGGCAACCGGGAGGAGGTGTACCAGACGGCCAAGGCTGTCCGAGAGAAGGTCTGTAGCCTGGGAGGGTCTGTTCCTAACACAGCTGACCACAGGCTAATTCCGGGCAAAGAGAACATTCTCATGTGGCCTGGAAGAGAGCTCTGCTTATGGCAGAATGGCTTTGTCCAGGGCACCTTTGGGTGCTCTCCCATGAAGCTGGCCCTAGTTACATAGACAGGGATTAGGGTTGATTACGTAACAGGCGTAATCATCTGTTGTTCCCTTGGAAATGTAGACCGTGTGGGTTTCTCTCCAGGACTGTGGCGGGGCAAATGTCCCATTGGCCTCTGGGAAAATCCTTCTCCTGACTCCAGTCATCTGTTTGGACTAAATATATCAGTGAACTCCAAGAGAGGGAAACCCACCCTGAGTGTTTGGCACATGGTAATGTTAACTGTTTTTATGTCACAGTAACCTCATTTATTATAAATATGCTATGTGCCAGGTACAGTGTGTGCCGTAAATTATTTCTCCTCCTCAGAACAGTCCTGGTGTGGCATTAGCCCCATCTCACAAATCAAGACTGGTGCTCAGAGAGGCAGTTCCCTTCCCCAGGCCCTGTGGCTGGTGGTGGTGGGCCAGGTGGCTGCTGGGCCTCTGTGTATGCAGGATAACTGGAACTGGGCTGGCAGGAAGTAGCCTGCAGGAAGGAATATCTAAGAAAAACTGGTAAATAACACATCAATTAATTGATCATAAATGGACTCAGAAATTACTCGTTCACTTATGAGTAGGCCATATCCCTTTTAAAAAGTATACTGGGCCGGATGCAGTGGCTCACACCTGTAATCCCAGCATTTTGGGAAACTGTGGCAGATGGATCACTTGAGGTCAGAAGATCAAGACCAGCCTGCCCAACATGGTGAAATCCCATCTCTACTAAAAATATAAAAATTAGCCAGGCACGGTGGCAGGAGCCTGTAATCCCGGCTATTTGGGAGGCAGAGTTGGCAGTGAGCCGAGATGGCGCCACTGCACTCCAGCCTGGACAACAGAGTGAGACTCCACCTCAAAAACAAATAAGCAAACAAACAAACAAAAAACGTATATTGTTGGCCCTGGGCTGGCTGCCCTCATGGCCCCGTGGCCCCCTCTTGCCTGCAGGTGGGTGACATCACCATCCTGGTGAACAATGCCGCCGTGGTCCACGGGAAGAGCCTAATGGACAGTGACGACGATGCCCTCCTCAAGTCCCAACACATCAACACCCTGGGCCAGTTCTGGGTAAGGGCTGTCCCAGGCCAGAGCCAGCCCCCGGTGTGCAGGGAGCCCAGGCAGGATGGAGGGGAGGGGATGCTTGCCAGGGCTTGGGCTCAGGCCAGCAGAGATGTCCACGAACAAGGTGGCCAGACAAGACGAATGACCGGCTCCAGGACGCATCAGACTTTGTGAAATACGCTCACTGTCCCGGGGCCGGGAGCCCTCAGCCCTCTCCCTCGCGGGAAAGCTCGGGTACTAGAGCACCGTGTGTGTCCAGGGTGGGCTGTTCTCCCCAAAAGAAAGGTGGAGGGGTTGTCAGAGCTGCGGCTGCTCCACCCTGACACTCCATCCGCCCTCAGACCACCAAGGCCTTCCTGCCGCGTATGCTGGAGCTGCAGAACGGCCACATCGTGTGCCTCAACTCCGTGCTGGCACTGTCTGCCATCCCTGGTGCCATCGACTACTGCACATCCAAAGCGTCAGCCTTCGCCTTCATGGAGAGCCTGACCCTGGGGCTGCTGGACTGTCCGGGAGTCAGCGCCACCACAGTGCTGCCCTTCCACACCAGCACCGAGATGTTCCAGGGCATGAGAGTCAGGTCAGTGAGCAGGGGACCCACCTCCCCAAGCCATGTTCAGTCAGCCGACTGCAGAAAGAGCTCTGATATAAAAATCAGGCTAGGGCCGGGCGCGGTGGCTCACGCCTATAATCCCAGCACTTTGGGAGGCCGAGGCGGGTGGATCATGATGTCAGAAGATCGAGACCATCCTGGCTAACACGGTGAAACCCCATCTCTACTAAAAATGCAAAAAATTAGCCGGGCGTGGTGGCAGGCACCTGTGGTCCCAGCTACTTGGGAGGCTGAGGCAGGAGAATGGCGTGAACCTGGGAGGCGGAGCTTGTAATGAGCTGAGATCACGCCACTGCACTCCAGCCTGGGCGACTGAGCGAGACTCTGTCTCAAAAAATATATATATATATGGCTAGGCATGGTGGCTCATACCTATAATCCTATTACTTTGGGAGGCCAAGGCAGGCGGATCGCTTAAACCCAGCAGTTTGAGACCAGCCCGGGAAACATGGAGAAACCCTGTGTCTACAAAAAAGAAAAAATTAGCTGAGCATGGTGGTGCACACCCAGCTATTTGGGAGGCTGAGGTGGGAGGATCGATTGCTTGAGCCCAGGAAGTTGAGGCTGCAAGTGAGCTGTGATTGTGCGACTGCACTCCAGCCTGGGAGACAGAGTGAGACCCTGTCTCAAACCAAAAAGTCACCAAGGAGCCTCTCCCCTCTGCTTGACGCTGTCTTACCTGGTTCTCGGTCTGCAAGGCAGTGATGCCACAATGGGGAGGGTCCTGCTGCCTGGTTCAGGGAGCTTGTATGAAACTACTAGAGCTATAGGCATGCAGCGGGATGTGCCCAAAGGTCAAAAGAGGGAGACGCACCTCCACAGCCATCGTGCGGGGCGAAGGGAGCTGGAGACGTAGGGTGCGTTCTGCCTGGTTCCACCTGTGTGAAGTTCCAAAACAGGCGAAACTGGGTTGGGGTGATGGAAGTCAGACCCGTGGCTGCCCCTGGAGGGCTGGGGGTATAACCTGGGAGGGAGGCGGAGGGAACTGTCAAGACTTTCAGAAATGTTCTCTCTTCTTGATCTCAGCAGTCATTAAATACGTGAAAGTTAATCAAACTGTCTGCTTAAGATTTATACCTTTTGTTGTATGCAAATTATAGCTCAATTTATTTATCTGTTTATTTATTTATTTTTTGAGACGGAGTCTCGGTCTCTCGCCCAGGCTGGAGTGCAGTGGCGTGATCTCGGCTCACTACAACCTGCACCTCCTGGGTTCAAGTGATTCTCCTGCCTCAGCCTCCCGAGTAGCTAGGATTACAGGCGTGCGCTCGCACTAAGCTAATTGTTGTATTTTTAATAGAGACGGGTTTCATTGTGTTGGCCAGGCTGGTCTCAAACTCCCGACCTCAGGTGATCTGTCCGCCTCGGCCTCCCAAAGTGCTGGGATGACAGGCGTGAGCCACCATGCCTGGTCATAGCTCAATTTAAAATAAGCAATAGGGAGGTCCCACCACTCCTCCTTCAGACCAGTTAAGTCAAGGGGAACGGGAGCCACTGGTCTAGAGCTCATGCCACCTGGGGTGGTGACTCCCTCATAGCTGTGATGCACTCTGTGACATTGGGTCCCATTAGTTACTGCTCTGGCTGATCTGTAAGATGCGGTGACGTGAATGTCTCCGTCATAAGTTCTGCAGTGAGGACAAAATGGAATCTGGCAGGGAACACCGTATGTGGTACATTTTAAGTACCCAATAAACGGCGCTTTAATGATGTGCAGTCATGTAGGGGCATGAGGTCATCGATGAATGAAAACCGGGAATTACTCAAATACCATTCTCCCTGGTTTTTTGCAATCCGGCGTACAGTGCTTCACCTTCTGAATTACACACTTCAGCTGCTTCCAAAAATGAGGATGACATCGAAGGGTCAGGATGAGAATTCAGTGAGACCGTTTAGTGTAGTGCATGCCACGTAGGAGTCACTCATTCCACCTTATAGTTACTATTAATAGGGACAGTGCAGTATTGGTTGTCGAGAATCAAAAGTACCGGGCTTGGTGGCTCATGACTGTGATCCCAGCACTTTGGGAGGCTGAGGCAGGAGGATTGCTTGAGCCCAGGGAATTAGAAATAATACATGTAACACATCTAGTGCAAAGCCCAGATACTAGATGCTCAATAAGGAGCTGCTGCTTTTATTATTTTTACTAACAATAAACATCTTCATAAATGCATGTTATTAATTTTCCTAGCAGACTACCTGGTTTGCGTGCAAATTGTCATCAATTCTGAATTTCGAGGAGTCTAGACTAATGGCTACTGATGTTTCCTGTTGGCTTTTTCCCCCCCATGGGTTTTGGTTTGGTTTCTTTTCATCAGAAGGTGCTCAATAAATGTGTAGTGCATCAGTGGCAGTCTGCAGTGGTTTTTTTTTTTTTGCTTTTTTTTTTGAAACAGAGTCTTGCTCCGTTGCCCAGGCTGGAGTGCAGTGGCGTGATCTGGGCTCACTGCAAGCTCCACCTCCCAGGTTCACGCCATTCACCTGCCTCAGCCTCCCAAGTAGTTGGGACTACAGGCGCCCGCCACCACGCCCGGCTAATTTTTTGTATTTTTAGTAGGGACAGTGTTTCACCATGTTAGCCATGATGGTCTCGATCTCCTGACTTCGTGAGTCGTCCGCCTCGGCCTCCCAAAGTGCTGGGATTACAGGCGTGAGCCACCACACCCAGCCGGCAGTCTGCAGTTCTAACTGGGTGTCCTGAGCACAGGAGCAAGCAGGACATTGCAGACATCAAGTTTGTGTGTCTATTTCACCTTCTAGTATAGTTTCCTTTCTATCACTTCAAGAAGGAAATTCAAGGTTTTCCTGCCACATTTTTTCAGAGTGTGAACCCAAACTGCTTGGGGTCAAATCCCAGCTCTATGTGACCTTGGCCAAGTTACTTGACTTTTCTCTACTTCAGTTTCCTTACCTCTAAAAAGGGATTCATAATAATAGTATCCCCAGCTGGGCAAGGTGGCTCACGCCTGTAATCCCAGCACTTTGGGAGACCAAGGCGGGCAGGTCACCTGAGGTCAGGAGTTCAAGACCAGCCTGGCCAACATGGTGAAACCCTGTCTCTACTAAAAATACAAAAATTAGCCAGGCATGGTGGTGGGTGCCTGTAATCCCAGCTACTCAGGAGGCTGAGGCAGGAGAATCACTTGAACCTGGGGGGTGGAGGTTGCAGTGAGCCGAGATTGCGCCATTGCACTCCAGCCTGGGTGACAGAGCGAGACTCCGTCTCAAAAATGAATAACAATAATACTAATAATAGTATTCCCTTTTCATGGGTTAGATGAGCTCCCGTGTGTGAATCATCTGGCCATGCCTGGGAAGTAGCGAGCACTAGGTGAATCTTAGCGATCTATGGTTGTGCAGGGAAGCCCCAAGGGCTGGGCTAGAAGAGTAGTACGAGGAAGATGGGTACCTAACCAACTCCCATTTCCTAAAAGAATAGCAAATGGATGAAAGCATTGGTTTCCTCCTACAACCATGCTTAGCAGCTTCCCAGGGTTAAATGGGTTAAATGTGAAGACATGTTTAGGACAAAATGGATGATTTTCCCAGCAGGACTGGCCATGTCAGTGGATGTTGTGGTTTATAAATTGCTATTTATTGAGCCTCTTTTTTTCTTTTCTTTTCTTTTTTCTTTTTTTGAGATGAAGTCTTGCTCTGTCTCCCTGGCTGGAGTGCAGTGGTGTGATCTTGGCTCACTGCAACCTCCGCCTCCCAGGTTGAAGCAATTCTTGTGTCTCAGCCTCTCGAGTAGCTGGGATTACAGGTGCCTGCCTCCATGCCCGGCTAATTTTTGTATTTTTAGTAGAGACAGTGTTTCACCATGTTGCCCAGGCTGGTCTCGAACTCCTGGCCTCAAGTGATCCACCTGCCTCATCCTCCCAAAGTGCTGGGATTACATGCATGAGCCACCGCGCCTGGCCAATTGAGCCTCTTTGATGTACCAGCCATAGAACCAACCGGAGCCACCAAACACTTTACAACTACCGCTGTATTTGGCCCTCACAGCAACCCTGCAAGAGAGCTTGTATTCCCATTTTACAGATGAGGGAACTGAGGCTCAGAGAAGCAGAGTTACCTGCTCAAGTCCACACAGCTTGGAGCTGGCTAGCTGAGAATGCTTCTTCCGCGAATTTGCACTGCTTCCATGGGAGTTAAGAGCTGTGCCAGTTCCCCGTGTCCCCATTCCACCCACCGTGGAGAGGAAGGAGAAAATCCTCTGCACAGACATGCTTGAGGCCTCCTCCGTCGGCTTCCCTGGCAGGGGTCTTACCAAGAAGGATTCCCCTCAAGCCCATGGACTTTGGTCTGTCCATCCTGCCTTCCCTTTCCCAAGAGACAGGACAGGCCACAGGTGGAAGCCAGAGAATCCAGACTGCCCACGACACCTGTAGGACTCCAGTATCAGGGAGCTGCCTCAACACGTTCATCTCTGCAGAACCGCAGAGACTGGCCCCTCTTGACCACAGGACTGTGGGCCTCAGAATCACCATCATGGCCAAGCGTGGTAGCTGGGTTCACACCAGTAATCCCAGTGCTTTGGGAGGCTGAGGCAGAGGAATTACTTCAGCCCAGGAGTTGCCAGCCTGGGCAACATGGCAAAACCCCATCTCTACAAAAAAATATAAAAATTATCTGGGCATGGTGTGTGTACCTGTAGTCCCAGCTACTCGGGTGGCTGAGACAGGAGGATCACTTGAGCCCAGAGAGGTCGAGGCTGCAGTGAGCTGTGATCGCGTCACTGCACTCCAGCATGGGCAACAAAGTGAGACCCTGGACTCAAAAATAAAAAATAAAAAACGAATCACCACCATGTTGACAAAGGAATTACAGGGCAGGGGGTAAGATCCATGTGCCCTCTGAGGCCAAGCCCCTGCTGGGAGTCCAAGGGCTGCCTGTTGCTCTTGAATGACATCAAACCCAGGTGATTCATCACCCTTAATCTTCCTGGTGCCAAAGCGGATCACAAGCTCTTTGTGGGATTGGGGTCAGAGCCAGCAACATGAGCCCTGCACCTAAAGATCCAGCAGGGGCAGGAAGAGCAGTGAGCCAAGGTGATAGAGCATTGGCCTGGTTTGACTCCTTAACACCCTACTGACTCAATAGAGCCTCAGTTTCCTTATCTGTAAATCGGGAGAATAATTTGTGCTTGAGTCTGGCAGTTAGGCAACATCATCATTGTTTGGGTCTAGGGTTAGATGCTTCTGAATAGTCATGTGAGGCCCCTGATGTTTGCTATGCAATCATTCATTCATTCATTTTGAGATCCCACGGAAAGCACCGTGCAAATGTTTGAATCAATGAATCAATGAATGAGTTAGTAAACCAGCAAGCTGAGCCAAAGCCATCGATAGCCGAGCCCCTGCCTCCAGACAGAATGAGCAGGACACATTTGGGAAGCAGCAAGTTGTCCGCGTGTTCAGTCCTTCAAGTATTTACTGAGCTCCTGCTCTGTATCAGACGCTGCGCTAGGTGCGGTGGTTGCAGGGGAATAGGACCGACCAGGCCTCCACCCTCATGGAACTCAATCGTCTGATGGGGGAGACAGGCCACCGACAAGGAAACACCCCAACAAGCAAGGCCTTCCTAGGTGGGGTGAACGCAGTCAAGGAAATTAGCAGGGAACGAGATCAGAGGTTGCTTTGGGTCTGAGATGTCTCCCAAAGGAGGAGCTGGGAGGAGAGAGCCAGGCCGTCGAGAGAGCTGGCAAAAAGCCCTGATCTGAGAGTGTGATGTGACAAGAACAGAGATGGGCCTGTCCTGAAGGAGCAGAGTGTAGGGAAGAGGACTCAGAAGGACAGCCAGGGCCCGGATTGTGCAGGGCTGTGGAGAGGCCAAGCCCTAGGACACTGGGAGCCCTTGGAGGACTTGGGAGAATGAGTCCCCGGTGGGTGGGCTAGAAGTCCTTGACTCAAGAAGAGACCCCTGTGTACCTGGAGGAGTGAGGGAATGTGGCACCTGGATGAGTGTGGGGTAGAGGGAGTACTCCAAGCAGGCCTCGAGTCTCTCAGACAGGAAAGGCCAAAGGGTGATCCAGACATGTCAGTCTCATAGAAGCTTCCAGCTAAGCACATGCCTCTCCAGGAGAAACCCACTGTGTCTCTTCCTGTGTTCAGGTTTCCCAACCTCTTTCCCCCACTGAAGCCGGAGACAGTGGCCCGGAGGACAGTGGAAGCTGTGCAGCTCAACCAGGCCCTCCTCCTCCTCCCATGGACGATGCATGCCCTCGTTATCTTAAAAAGGTATGGGGCTGGGAGAGAACGCTCTGGGTCAGTACGTATGTGATCAATTAGTCATGTCTGCTGTGGGCATGAGCATGAGGAGTGGTGGCACATTTGCCGTTGATGTGCTGTACTTACCATGGGGCAGCAGTTCTCAAACTTGTTAGTCACAGGGCCCCTTAGAGTTTTAAAAAGTATGGAGGAACCCAAAGAGCTTTTGTTAATGTGAGTTGTAGCTATCGCTATTTACTATATTAGAAATTAAAAGCCAGGGCTGGGCGCAGTGGCTCACGCCTGTAATCCCAGCACTTTGGGAGGCCGAGGCAGGTGGATCATGAGGTCAGGAGATAGAGACCATCCTGGCTAAAATGGTGAAACCCCATCTGTACTAAAAATACAAAAAGAAATTAACTGGGCATGGTGGCGGGCGCCTGTAGTCCTAGCTACTCGGAAGTCTCAGGCAGGAGAATGGTGTGAACCCGGGAGGCGGAGCTTGCAGTGAGCCGAGATCACGCCACTGCACTCCAGCCTGTGCGCCACTACACTCCAGCCTGTGCGCCACTACACTCCAGCCTGGGCGACAGAGCTAGACTCCATCTCAAAAAAAAAAAAGATACTAAAAGCCAGAAAAATGTTATAAGATGTATACATTTGTTTATAATATTTATTCATTTATAAATAGCCATAACGAACCCATTACATTAATATAAATATATTTTTATGACAACTAGTTATGTATTCTAAAACAAAATAAATGTAGTCAGGAGTGGCATTGTTTTACATCTTTGCAAATCTCTTCGTTTGGCTTAATTGAAGACAATTGGATTCCAGTATGTGCATCTGATTTCAATTTGTTGTGATATCTTGTGTCACATAGCCTCTGGAAAATTCTACCATTCACTAAGAGAATGAAAGTGAAAAGACAAATAACATCTTAGTATTATTACAGAAACAATTTGGCCAGGCATGGTGGCTCACGCCTGTAATCCCAGCACTTTGGGAGGCCGAGGCAGGCAGATCACCTGAGGTTGGGAGTTTGAGACCAGCCTGAGCAACATAAAGAAACACTGTCTGTACTAAAAATACAAAAAAATTAGCTGGGTGTGGTGGCGTGTGCCTGTAATCCCAGCTACTTGGGTGGCTGAGGCAGGAAAATCGCTTGAACCCAGGAGGCGGAGGTTGCAGTGAGCTGAGATCGTGCCACTGCACTCCAACCTGGGCAACAAGAATGAAACTCCGTCTCAAAAAAAAAAAAAAAAAAAGCAATTTGACCTCACAGACCCCTGAAGAGATCTCGGGTACCCCCAAGGGTTCCTGGACCTCACTTTGAGAATCACTGTTCTAGAGCCTATTGGACATAGCCCCTGCCCTCAGGAAGTTTACTGCTAGAGGGAACATGGGGATCTTGATGCCAAGGGCTCAGAATTCACAGAAGCGTCTTAGTACCAGTCAGGTGGGATGTAGCAGGGCAGACCACGTTGGGGAGGTAGGCTTTATAAAGGAGAGACTCCTCCAGAATTTGCCTGGCAGCCTAGTCCTATTCCCCTAGAACTTTCCAGACTTTGTGCCGCAAACCCTTCCCATCCCAGTCCCACACTCAGTTTTCTTGGGCCTCTTAGTACAGCAGGAGATCCTTATCCCTGGAGCCACAGGTGACCATGAGCTCTTGGCTCCCCTGGGGCTCTGGCCCCCACATGACTGAACCCCTCTGACTTGGAAGGCCTTTTCAGGAACGGAAGCCCCCAAGTGCCAGGCTGGCCCCTGCTCTCATGCGACATGCACTCCCAGGAGAGCCAAATTCTGCCCTGGCTGCCGGGACATGGCGAGTCCCAGCTAAGAGGCTGCTCCAACACACTCAGGGCACAGAAACCTCGAAACCGAGGGGCAAACCCGATCAGCCCTCTCTTCCCCAAACTCAAAGCCCTTTCAGAGGCACAGGGAAGGGGGCACCCAGGGGCATCCAGTCCACGCGTCGGCCTCCCTCAGTCCATCCTGACCTCGGGTCTGAGATGCTCCTCGGCCGTCTCTAGGAGCCCCTAGTTGATCAGGGGCTCAGGTCCTCACTGAGGCCAGGCTGCCACCCTCCACCTCAGGGGAGCTTCTTAGAAGCCTTCCAGAGCTTTCTAGAGAAAAGTTGGTCTAGAAAACCTCAGCGCTCTCCACAGTAAGCCCTCAGCCTTATTTTCCAACCTTCCCCACAACTACTTTTCAACAGGAAGGAGGAGCCACCCACCTCCCCGTTCTCTGAACTGCATCCCTCCTCACCTTCCCCAGGAGAAAGCAAGGTTCAACTCTAATGCCACCACCCCCAGGAAGCCTTCCAGATTGCTCCAGCTAGAAGTGAACCTTTTTCATCTTGTACTTAGAGTGGGCCAGGACCCTTCGGTTTGAGTCACCAGACAGCCTGAGGGCCCTCTCTATGCCGGGCCCATGCAAGGGGGATCAGAGACAAAATACCCGCCATGAAGGCCCCCACAGGCTTGACAAGTAAACGGGCAAGGACTACACCAGTGCTTGCTGGGGAAGCACCAGGGCTCCTGGTTGCACGAGGAGAAGCCTGAGGGTGAGCCCAGGACGCTTCCCCGGAGGATGTGACACCCAAATCCAATCTGATTCCTCAGATCCACACGATCATCTTTGTGGAATCGAGGGCAGTTGGGATTGAAGAATCTCTGAGCTGCCTGTGGGCACCAGGATGCTAAGAGCTTGGTTTTGAAAGTGTGTGTGTATGAAGGGAGAGAAGGTCAGCACTCCTCTTGACAAGGAACACACACAGGTTAAGCCATTGTCACCTACTTAGTGGCATCTAACCACCATTTGTTTTTAATGGGTACAAAAAATAGACTGAATAAAAATAAGTCTTTGATAGCACAACAGGGTGACTATAGTTAATAGTAATTTACTTATACATTTAAAAATAACTAAAAAGGCCAGGTGCAGTGGTTCACGCCTAAAATCCCAGCACTTTGGGAGGCCGAGGTGGGCGAATCACCTGAGGTCAGGAGTTCAAAACCAGCCTGGCCAACATGACAAAACCCTGTCTCTACTAAAAATACAGAAATTAGGCAGGCATGGTGGCGCATGCCTGTAATTCCAGCTACTCGGGAGGCTGAGGCAGGAAAATCACTTGAACCCAGGAGGCAGAGGTTGCAGTGAGCCCAGATCGTGCCACTGCACTCCAGCCTGGGCGACAGAGTGAGACTGTCTCAAAAATAAATAAATAAATAAATAAATAAATAAACAAACATAAAAATAATTAAAAGTATAGTTGGATTATTTGTAACACAACAGATAAATGCTTGAGGTGATGGATACCCCATTTACATTGATGTAATTATATACATTTGCATGCCTGTGTATTCATGTACCCCATAAATATTTATACCTACTGTGTACCCACAAATATTTATACCCTATTATAAAAATATTTATACCCTATTATAAAAAATATTTATACTCTACTGTGTACCGAGTCCCATTGATCACAGGGGCAGGGGGAGGTCTGGAGTGTACCCACAAAAATTAAAAATAAATAATGAACTCTGTTTCAGAATCTAGGAAAAAGATAAAAAATTTAAATTTAAAAAAAATTGCTCTTACCACCCACTCTCTGCCTTTTTAAAACATATATTTTAAAAAGAATTTGTGTGTTTGTGTGTGTGTGTGTGTGTGTGTGTGTGAGATAGAGTTTTACTCTTGTCGCCCAGGCTGGAGTGCAATGGCACGATCTCGGCTCACTGCAGCCTCCGCCTCCCATGTCAAGCAATTCTCCTGCCTCAGTCTCCCGAGTAGCTGGGATTACAGGTGCCTACCACCATGCTCGGCTTTTTGTATTTTTAGTAGAGATGGGGTTTTGCCATGTTGGCCAGGCTGTTCTCGAACTCCCGAGGTGATCCACCCACCTTGGCCTCCCAAATTACTGGGATTACAGGCGTGAGCTACCACGCCCGGCCTGGAAAGGATTTTTGAGACAGGGTCTGGCTCTGCCACCCAGGCTGGAATGCAGCAGTACAATCTCAGCTCACTTCAACCTCCGCCTCTTGGGTTCAAGCCATCCTCCCACCTCAGCCTCCCCAGTAGCTAGGACTATAGGCACATGCCACCATACCAGCTAATTTTTGTATATTTTTGTAGAGACAGGGTTTCACCATGTTGCCCAGGCTGGTCTTGAATTCCTGGGCTCAAGCGATCTGCCCACCTCGGCCTCCCAAAGTGCTTGGATTACAGGCATGAGCCACCATGCCCAGGCTCCCACTGCCTTTTTAACAGCTGCTTATCCACTTACTTGAAAGCTCTTCCCCTGGGGAGGGTGGGGGTTTGGGGAGAAACTGGTGTGTGGCTTGGGGGGGTGGGGAGTACTTTTAGGGACCAGCCCTCTGCTGCCCCATCTCACATGGCCACCAGCGACCGAGCCCCTGGATCCTGCCCTGCTGACCATCGCTGACCATCGCTGTTTTCTTTCCTTCCTCCCACTCCAGCATACTCCCACAGGCTGCACTTGAGGAGATCCACAAATTCTCAGGAACCTACACCTGTATGAACACTTTCAAAGGGCGGACATAGAGACAGGACGAAGACATGCCTGAGGAGTCACGGAGTTCGGGGGCCACAGCACCTGGGCACACACCCGAGCGCCTGTCCGTTGACACGCTTCTGCTGGGTGAGCAGGACAGCTCCTGTCCCCAGCGAAGAATCTGGCTGCCCCTGGGCCAGTCCCAGGACCTTTGCACAGGACTGATGGGTGTAACTGACCCCCACGGGGAGGCAGGAAGCCAGCCAGTAGCCACCTTGACACTTTTGTGCATTTCCAGTTCCATAGAGTTTATCGTTCAATTGCTTCTCAAGTCTCACCAGCCTCAGCAGTGTGCATAGACCATTTCCAGGAGGGTCTGTCCCCAGATGCTCTGCCTCCCGTTCCAAAACCCACTCATCCTCAGCTTGCGCAAACTGGTTGAATGGCAAGAATGAAAAATAAAGAGAGATGGCTTTTGTGAGTTCCTTTGTTCAAATCTTTGGTGGGCAGTTGGGAGGGAGCCAGTCCCAACCACTAAACTCCATCCTTTGAGAGATAATTGGTCTGTTCAAGGTCCCCAACTGCCAAGGGTGGAGAGAAGGGGGCCGAAATCAGGAGACAAAGTGTAGCCCAGGCCTACGGGCAGAGAGAGGTGCCCGGTTCCTTGCCCACTCCGCCAGGCCCCTCCCAGCAGCCATGGGTTGAGGCCGCTTTTTCTCCCTGGTGTGACCTGTATGAACCAGTCTGCAGAGAGCTGGCCACAGCTGGTGATGCCCTCTGTCCTGCCATGGCACCACCAGCCCCCAGGCCATCAACTCAGGACAGCAAAACCAGTCTTTATGGAGCACCCACTGTCTACCCAGGGTGTGTGTGGTGCAGATAGGGGAATGTTGCTGAGAAGACTACCAGTACAAGAAGCCAATAATCTGGTTAGGAAAGGATCATAAGTCACCAGAAACGCAGTGACAACTCCTCACCATCAGGTCAGTGCTGAGGGGTGCTACAGACCGAGTCCCATTGATCACAGGGGCAGGGGGAGGTCTGGAGTGGCAGAAGAGATTGGCACAGGTTCCATCAATGGGGGCAAAGTCACGGCCAAAATGACCTAGTAGAGACGCCCCTGCTTTCCCCGGAGTGCACGCTTCCTGCTGCCACAAGCTTAGTAAACCTCACCTTGGACAGTGGGGAAGAGAGTGGGCCGTGTCGTTTCGTATGAAGTAGCCTCCATTCATACAGCTCTTGCAGGTGGATGCCAGGGTGGCAGGAGGGGAACAGGCAAGGTCCCCGGGAGGTGAAGGAGGTCACAGCCCTCTGACTCAACCCAGGAGCTTTCCCAAGAGTCACATAAAGTCTTAACCTACATGTAAACCTCAGGCTGAACCCTCCCAACTTAGAGAATATTAGACACAGCTCAGGTGATCATCAATCTGGTCTATGTGCAGAAATGCCAAGTCATAATTATAGCCATGCTTTTTTTCTTTTTTCTTTTTTTCGACATGGGATTTTGCTCTGTCTCCCAGGCTGGAGTGTGGAGTGGAGTGGCACAATCATGGCTCACTGCAGCCTCAACCTCCCGGGCTCAAACAATCCTCTACCTCAGCCTCCAGAGTAGCTGGGACTGCAGGTGCACGCCACCACGCCCAACTGTTTTCTTTTTCTTTTTCGTAGAGACAGGGGTCTTGCTCTGTTGTCCAGGCTGGTCTTGAACTCCTAGGCTCAAGCAATCCTCCTCCCTCAGCCTCCCAAACTGCTGGGATTACTGGTGTGAGCTACCACACCTGGCCTGTAGCCACTCTTGATTGAGTACCTAGAATGGAGGCTAGTCCCCAGGCATAACGTTTTAACTGTTCATTATCCATGCCACATGGCAGCAGCTGAAGACCAAAAAAACACAACTCCGAGACTGCGCTGGAGACTTCTAACAGCCTTGATGTGGAGCAGCCAGAATGTGACGCCCCGGTTTCAGTGGCTTCCAACAATGAAGGTTTCTGCCTTATTATTGCTACTTGTCCTTCAAGAATAGCTACGGGTGTGCTCCGTGTCATCTTCACTCTGAAACTCAAGCTGACCCGGGGCCTCAGGGAGGATGCCTTGTGGCACAGGGTAGACATACCTGGTGAACTGTGCACTGGCTCTTGAGGTTTCTGCCTGGAAACAACACCGTCACTTGTGCTCACCTTTCATTGGCCGGAGCAGGTCACGTGGTGGAGCCTGCTATTAACATAGCAGGAAATACAATCCTGCGTGGAGACGCAGTCCCTAGTTCTGAACCAGGCTGCCACGCCAGAGAAGAAGACATCATGAGCAAAAATTAAAATATAGGTTGAGGACAGAGGGAAGCAGATGGATGGCTTCCAACTGCAAGCCCAAGGACATAGTGACTTTTGGGAGGGCACAGAAGGTGCTAAGGAGAGCCCTAACGAGGCAACTGTCAGTGTTTACCTCACGCTACACTTGTTTAGGATCTCACTCTGTTGCCCAGGCTGGAGTACAGTGGCACGATCATGGCCACTGCAGCCTCCACCTCCCAGGCTCAAGCAGTTCTCCCATCTCAGCCTCCTTAGTAGCTGAGACTACAGGCATGCGCCACCACGCCTGGCTCACTTATTCACTTTTCGTAAAGATAGGATCTCGCTATGTTGCCCAGGCTAGTCTGGAATTCCTGGCTCAAGCAATCCTTCTGCCTTGGCTTCCCAAAGGAAAGCTGGGAGTACAGGTGTGAGCCACTGCACCCGGCCCACACTAACCTTTTGAAAAGTGGTATTATGAAGCCTATTCCGTAAGTGAGAAGACACTCAGCAGGGGAAACCCTTGCTCAGGTTAGTGGGCTTGTGAGCACTGGAGCCAGATTTTTTTTTTTTTTTAAGAGAGATAGGGTGTTTATCTGTTGTCCAGACTTGAGTGCAGTGGCACAATCATAGCTCACTGCAACCTGGAACTCCTGGGCTCAAGGGATCTAGAACCAGCTCTGCCTGACCCCCTAGTCCCCTTGCTGACTACAGTACCAGGCGACAGCAAATGATGAGACCCCAAGCCAGGACCTATCTCCTTTTTGGTCCTTGAGGACATGTTACCAAAGTATGGGGGGGTTGCTAAAGAGGTCCTCCTGGAATGTCCACACCCACCTATCGCCCCACCTGTAGTGTGTCTAGACACAAGTGAGCCCACAGGGCAGATGCCTCTCACTGGCTCTCGCAGGAAACAGATTGGGGATAAGCATGTCTCAGTGGGCAGGGATAAACGAGGAGGATGAAGTAGGGGTCTTGTCTTAGTCCCGATTTTTCTGACCATCGTTGAGCTGCAGACCCTCATGGTGTGGCCCCAGCCCAGCTTTTTGGAGAGGATTTGACTCCTGAAGTTTCCATGAAATTGCATTTAGCCTGCAGGCCAGGAGTGCAGCAAGGATCCCTGAAGTCTGATTGGACTCTGGGAGTTGCAAGCCCCGCCAGCCCTCCCCAGTTGCACTGAGAACCAATCACTGTGTTAGCAGAGTGGGACCCTGGCTTCCCAGAGCCCCAGGGACTTCTGACAGCAGGGCAGGGCCTGGTCCCACCCCACCCCCTCCCTCTCAGCCAGGAGCTTTCAGTCTTTTTCTGGATCTTTTCCCAGAGGAACCAAAAGAAAAAGCATTAGGCAGAATCCCAGGAGGCCCCATTCTGGTCCCTCTCCCGGATGGTTTGGCACTCAGAGAGCCTTGAGAGTGAGAGTGGAGAGCTAATTCTGTCCTTAGCTTGGCCATGCAAAGAAGAGTGACAAGTGCCAAACCCCTAAGGGGCAGGATGGGGCAGGCCAGCCCTGGGAAGAGGATTTGGGTCCTGGGAAATAACCTCGTTGCCATGCTTAGGGTTCCTCCCCATCCCCAAGGAAAACCAGATTGGAGGTAGGGATCCAGCCCAGGGAGGCACCAGATCCAAGCCCCATGCTGGCACCATTCCAGGGGCCTGGGCTATCTGGCCTGGTGAATGGTCAGGAATTGAGTCTGTGGCCACTTCCCTGCTCCCAGGGGACAGAATGCTTTGACAAATGGACTTTCTTCCTCTTGAGCCAAACTGATGTCTGGGAGGGATCAAGGTGACAGAAAGCTCCTGGGCTGATCACACGGAGAGACTGCCTGATGAGACAGATAACCCTTGCCCCTGGGGACGTCCCAGTTCAGTGGGGATCGAAAAAGGAGCCATGTCACAAATACAGGAACCCCGCTGCCCCAGTCCTGATCAGCACAGAGGGAAGAAGATGGTTGTGGGTTGTGGACAAGGGGATCATCTATGGTGAGAAGCAACCCCCACCCACCACAGCACATCTGAGACTTCTGACCCTGAGGGGTCTTCTCTGATATTCAGGAGAGGCCTTCTAGGGGAAGCAGGTCTGTGATAAGAACCCAGAGGTCTATGCCTATGAAGAGGGCTTCTATATATGGGCACCCCTCACTTGAGGAAAAGCCAGGAGGTGACAAATGTCCCTTGTATTAATTCATGCTCACACTGCTATAAAGAACTAGCCAAGACTGGGTAATTTGTAAAGAAAAGAGGTTTAATGGGCTCACGGTTCCACAGACTGTACAGGAAGCATGGCTGGGGAGGCCTCAGGAACCTTACCTTCGGGAATCATGGCAGAGGCAAAGGGGAAGTAATCACATCTTCACATGGCCAGCAGGAGAGAGACAGAAGGGGTGAGTGCCATAAGCTTTTAAACAACCAGAGCTCATGAGAACTTACCCACTATCACAAGAATAGGGAGGGAGAAATCCGCCCTCGTGATTCAATCACCTCCCACCTGGTCCCTCCCCCAACATAGGGGATTACAATTCAACATGAGATTTGGGTGGGGACACAGAGCCAAAACACATAACTCCATCCCTGGCCTCTCCCAAATCTTATGTCTTTCTCATATTTCAAAACCAATTATGCCTTTCCAACAGTCCCCCAAAGTCTTAACTCATTCTAGCATTAACTCAAAAGTCCAAATCCAAAGTCTCATCTGAGACAAAGCAAGTCCCTTCTGCCTATGAGCCTGTAAATCAAAAACAAGTTAGTTACTTCCATGATACAATGGAGGTACAGGCATTGGGTAAATGCTCCCATTCCAAAGGGGATAAATGGGCCAAAATAAAGGGGCTACAGACCCCACGCAAGTCCAAAACCCAGTTGGGCAGTCATTAAATCTTAAAGGTTCAAAATAATCTCCTTTGACTCCATGTATCACATCCAGGCCACAATGACACAAGGAGCAGGCTCCCAAGGCCAGGCCTTGGGCAGCTCCACCCCTGGTGGCTCTGCAGAGTACAGGCCCAACAGCTGTTTCCACAGGCTGGTGTTGAGTGCCTATGGTTTTTCCAGGCACACAGTGAAAGCTGTTGGTGGATCTACCATTTTGGGGTCAGGAGGACAGTGGCCCTCTTCTCACAGCTCCACTAGGCAGTGCCCTAGTGGGGACTCTGTGTGGGGGATACAACCCCACATTTCCCCCTCTGCACTACTATAG